TATATATATATATATATATATATATATGTGTGTGTATATAACACATTCAAAGAAGAATTTTATTTACTGAAAATACCCTGAAGTTGGAGTAGCAATAGAATGGTTCAGTGGTTCAAAGTCAGATTGGCCTAGTCAAAGTTCAGACCAAAACCCACTTAGGACTTCAGTATTATCCTCTTTAATAACTTTCATTTAATTTGTTCCATTTAAATTAGTTTTCCATCAAACTTAGTCTCCAGATTAGCTAAACTGAAGGCGATGGAAGCCAAACGTTCTGCAGAAACTGTAGCATAAGAAGCATCAGAAGGTTTCTATAAATTTCTTAATTTATTATTAGTCACTATTATCATTGTTTTTATTTTTCCTGTTTATGAAACATAACTTGAATCATTGATGATGCTGTTCTACCTGTGTGTTTTTTTTTTCTTTAAAAAATGTTTACGGTAATATTTTTGATTTCACAGCAGTTTTAAAGTTTTCTCTGCCGGTTTTCTTCTTGTCTGCTAGTCGCCGATGTTTGCTTACGTTTTGGGGGTTAAAATAAGACAATTCTGTCACAATGGGGTGGAGCTTTTGAGGACCCAAATGCACAGACCAGCAGGCAGAGGTGAATCTTGAAGATTTAATGAAGAACATAGAGAAAACATAAAAAAACAGAAAGCATCAGGTAGAACTCACCTGGGAAACCAGGGACGAGGGAACAACAAAATAACGAGAAGGAACCAGCACTGAGCGACTGCAGAGGTGGAGAATATAAGGATGGACTAATGAGCTGAATATGGAGCAGGTGTGAGTGGAAGTAACTAGAAGGAAGCCAAGGGGAAAGGAAAGAAGCACCAGGGGGCAGCAGAGAGCAACTAAAGTCTGTTTAAATATAATGGAAAATAAACCAAAGATCAACAAAACAGAACAACTAATAACTGAAAACTAAAAACTGAGATTCCCTAATGGGGAGAACCATAACAAATGCTTTCTGTGCATTTTGAAGCTTTTCAACCCTGACTATTTCTTCAGTAAAAAGAAAGTGTTTTTGTTTTTTTTAGGGCTGCTGACTTTGAATATGTGCCACTCTAAGTGTTTCGCTGTGATATGAACTATTCAGCAAAGCACTCTAATATCAGGCTGTGAGAAGAAATTAATTAGTTTGTTAAAGGGCAGTTACTGTTTGAACTGGAGGAGCCAGAAAATGTTCACAGACCAATAATGAGGTCAGGGTCAGTCTGCACTCATCAGAATGACCAGCAGGAAAAAAAAAGGAAAACATCAGTTTTTTTTTTTTTTTGAATAAATCCCTCAAAATTAACTAGATTTGTTTTAAGTCGTTTTTAATAATCCTAGATACATATTTATTATACTTTAACAAACCAAGGAGCCATTATTACTATTAAAATAAAACCAATGATAAATGACAACATTATTATTGCTTTTTAATATCTATGCAAGAAAATGTTTTTTTTATTTTATTAAAGAACCACTGTTTTATTTTTCAGGTTTGGAAATAAAACTTTTTTTTAGGATTAAATGTTCTTCTATTATTATTATTATTATTATTATTATTAATATTATTATTATTTTATTATTATTATATTCATGTGGTTTTAAAAAAGGACATTTTCTCAACCTAAGATTTAAAAATAATGGCGAACCAATCGATCGGCTGGCCGGTCGATCGGCCCTGATTTCTTTAATTTTAGAAGAGCTTTGATTGGCTGATTCTATGATGTCCTCTGCCTCTAAAAAATAGGTCTCTGTCGCTGCACTAAACTTTATATATTGTGAGCATCTTCTTGTGATATTAAACTAAAACTTTTTTTATTATTATTTAATTTGTTTTTTAAATCAGACTAAAACATGGAAGATGTGTTGTTGTAACAACTGTTATGAAAACAATGATTTTCAGCCAAAATTAGAATTAGAATTTTTTAAAGATCGTTGATCTGTCAGAAAGCTCCACTCGATGCGCCTCTGCTGAAACTGCTGCGCCATTTGGAGCATTATCTCGCAGAAATTCAGAGTAGTTATTCAACAGAAGAAAACTGGAAAAATAAGTCTGCAGTATTTATTATATATTTATATAGAAACAAAACTAACATATTTTATTTTATTTTTAGCTATTGTTATCAAAAGCCACTCTGGTATGGAGTGAATGTTGTTCCATTATTGTTGGAAGCAAAGAACCCAGTTTTTAAATTGAAATTTGAAACTAATGCAATCCAGCAATTGTACTTTAAGAAAAAATGTAATCCAATAAAAGGTTTTGAGTATAATTTTGCTCTTTTCAAAGATTTTTTCTTTTTTTCCAAAATCTGTTTTACACATTTTATATCTTAGTTAATTATTTTTTTAAATGTTTGTTGTGAGTTTTAGGAATTGCTTTCTTTTTTATTTGCGTGTTCCATCACATTTAATTCAGGGGGCGGGCTTTTTTCTAGTGAGGAGCGAAGAGGCTTTTCTATTGGTCTGCTGGACATTAGCAACAACGTCCAGCAAGTGAACAGAGCGTGATCTATAAAATGCAATTTAAAAAAAAATTCAATTTCTAAAACTGAATTTGAAAAACAGAACTTTGAAGAAAAAAATATATATATTTATATATATAAAAAAATATAAAAGAATATTAAATTGAAAAAAATGTTTCCGAAAAAAAAATCTAAGAAAACAGCAAAGTTACCATCGAAACCTTTTTTTTTCTTTTCTGGATTTGTTTTTTAATTATACATTCACAAAATGTGTTTTTCTTTTTTTTTTTTGCTTCCGATAATAAGAAAACAAAATTCCCCCTATAGTGTGAAAGGACTAAACAACCATTTGCAGCTCCAGAGCCGCAGGTTGCAGACTTCTGATCAACACTGTGTAAATAAGTCATTTATGTTTCTGCGTTATATAAAAATTAAATGACTTTACATTCATAAAAGACTCCTAGATGACTATGAAGGACCAACTCTACCATATTTAAAAATATATACAGAAATAAATAAATGCTCAATAAATAAAGAAGCATACAATTAATTGTTCCCAGAAATACAATAAACAAACAAATGTAGGTAGAAATTAGATTATTCTGTGAGACATAAATGTATTTAGCAGAAAACACCAAAAAAAAAAAAAAAAAGAGAAAATTAAATCTGTCATGTTGAATATGAATAATTCATTTCTGTATTTTTTTGTTCAGGGTTAATTTGTCACTGCTGCCCCCTTCTGGTTCAGTAGGGAACTGCTTGCTCTAAACTGCTTGCATTTTTATTTTTTGCATATTTTATTTTTCAGATGAATTATGGTCACTTTTTTATGCAGAATATTTAAAAATAAAATTAAAAATAATATTTTATTGATCATTTTAATTAAGTTACAAAATGATCAGTCTTGGAGAAGAAAATGAAACTGCAGTTTAGATGCCTTATTTTAAATTTAATTTATCAGTCAAAAATGCAGATCTAGTTTGAAAATTAAAAATAATTTTTATTTATTTATTTTAATGAGAAAGTGGGGACTGTATACATGTGAAATGCTGTTTATTTGATTAGCAGACATGTTCATGTTTCCCCTGATTCAGTCAACAAACAGCTGAATAACAGCTGGAAGCTGCAGATAAAATACTTTTATAAAATACTTTTTTTATATAAAAGACTGGTTGTTATAACTGGATCCCACACTGTTTCTCTCTGCTTCACTATGCTGCAAAAATTGAAATCTAAGTCAGTCGGTTTTTCTTCAAATCAATGTATTTTCGCTTGATTTGAGCAAAGAAATGAGACAATTTACCAACAGAATAAGATGATTTATATTTTTAAAATAACAAAAGACAAATCTATTAGCTTATTTCAAGTGAATAATACCAAACTACCTGTTTTTAAAGCCAAAAATGCTCCCATCATTGGCAGATCATCCTATTTAGCTGCTAAAATTAAGGAAACTGCGGAGGATGCAGATGCAAGCTCTACTGTTTTACTATTGCATGTCTACGTTGGATCTATGGACGCTGAACCAAAGGTGCCAGACTAAGATAATAAAGACCTAACTGGCTCCATTTCTTTATGTTTGCACCTGAAACCACAGCAGGAGCTAAATGTGTTCACAGCTGAGAGCTGCTGGGACTGGGAACTATGGGATGCTTGGCGTTAAACACTGGGAGGTGGACTGAGACAGATCACCAGTAAATGCTGGTTTCTTCCTATTTTCTCCTGTTAGCTGCTCTCAGCTCCCAAATTTTTAAAGAAAAATTTAGATTTCAGTGAAATTTTATTTGGTTACCGTATATAAACATTATAAGCTTGTCACAGTCTCCTCATTGAATATGAATATTTCCCTGGTTAAAATTAAAGTGTTTTGTTGTGTGACACTCGGACGGTTGATGAAAAACATCATTTGTTTAGTTTTTTATATATATTTTTTACATAAGTTAAAATATTTTATAATTTTTATTAGTTTATTTTGTAATATGAAATTATAAATTGGACAATTTTCATCATTAGGTTTAAAAAAAATCTAAATTCAAAATAATTGTTTATTTGATCATCTTTATCATCTAGTTTTAAAGATGGTATAAATATATTTTTTTTTTATTGAAATTATAATATTTGATTTTCTTTCTTTACTATTTAATTAATTGAATTGAATTCATTATTTGAAACATAGATACAAATTTACTGTTTTTTTGCATCTATTTTTATTTGTATTTGATGATGTTGTTGATCTATTTTCTGCTTAATAAAACACCCTGAAGAAAACTGGTAGGATCTTATTTCTATTAAGAGTTCTGACTCATTAAGAAAAAGAAAATGAACCCAGTAAGGAAACTTTGATGATTACCCTTTGGTTTATTTATTTATTTCGTTGGGGTTTTTTTGGTCTTCTTGTTGTTTCCTACTTCTTTGGACATAATCATTTATAAAAGTTTCTTTGCAAATGATTTTCTGTAATATTCTGTTTTTTTGCTGTTTTGCTTCTGTTGGGTTTTTGTTTCTTATTTTGTTGATTCAGCCTCCATGATTTTCCTGTCAGAAAGTGAACTTTTCCTCATCAGTTTCCGTATGCTGGTTGAACCTCTCAGCATTTAAAGCCCATTTAGGCCCCAGTCTGTGTTGCACTCGGTCATCTGACTGAAGAGCTTCACTCTTAGTTTCCCTCTTCGTCTGACTTGCCGGGTAACAGATTGGTAAATGCAGCCGTAAATTGTGTGGTTATGTAACAGAGACAACTGACACAAAGCAGCAGCAGCTGGTGCTGCTTCAACAACAGGGACACGCACACATTAATACACCTGTTTCAAGGCTTATCTATTGGGGGAACTAGATGTACGCATGGATAATTCAAAGGCTGCAGCTGTTTTCCTTTCCTTAAGTGGTGGTGGTCTGATGTAGACAGTGCTGAAGCTGGATTAGGGATCGCTGCTGGATCTGCAAAGACTCCATCAAAATGGTCAAAGAAGTGAGGGAAAGTTTCTGCGTTCTCTGTCACTTGTTTATGGGGGAACCTCTTCTGTGTTCAGGAGCAGGCAGAGTTTAATTTAGCCCAGAAACATGACTCCCAGGCTCTTCTATCAGCTCCCTCTCTGCTGCAGCCATGAGACAGACTGAGGCTGGGAACTGAAAGACAGCACACACCTTCAGTTAGCAATGAAACCATATCCTACAGCTAAATAAAGTCCAGCTGTCATGGAGACACAGTGATTCATGTGGAGGAAGTGATGCAGAGTGAGCCCATGTGTTAAAGCCAGGCTCTCTCCATGTGTTTGCTTTGATTGTCACTGAGTTTAGGCAGTAGGTGGGTTGCGCTCAAATTCAATTCAGTTTATTTATAAAGCTCCAAATCACAACACACGTCATCTCAAGGCACTTTGCAATCGATTCAAAGTTTTCTATGTAAAGAAAACCAGTTGATTGCATCGACCTATTGACTCTACAGCAGGCATCCCCAAATTCGGTCCTCTGTCCTGTTTTAGAGGTTTCTCTGCTTTAGCATAGCTGATTCTGATGATTGCAGTTCAGCAAAAACCTGTTAATCAACTATCAGTGTAAATCAGCTGGAACAGAGAAACCTCTTAAACCTGCAGGACAACGACCCTAGAGGACCCCAGAAGAATCTTTCACACCAAGCATACTTGTAGCAACAGTGGAGAGGAAAAACTAAATTTTAACAGGAAGAAACCTCGAGCAGAACCAGGCTAAAGGGCTGGTTATCCTCCCGCAGCAGTGTGTCGCAGTGAGCTTGACACAGATATTTTTTATTTATGCCCAAAATTCAAGCGTGGACTGCACTATGTTATTCCACGCCACAACACAAGAGGGACAATCAGGAACCAGCTGTGGGTCTGAATACGGTCGAGGCGATGAGGAAGTGAGGGCAAGTTTGTCTGACAATGGAGGGACATGAGGGGATCCAGATGGAAAAAGGGTCACAGCGTTCTCACGCACCTCGCTCTTCTAGCTGGTCTAACTTCATGAGTCATTTTCCACAATGGCCGTCATACAAACAAAACAAGCCGCTAAGGTACCAAACAGGAAATATGCATAGAGTAGAGCGGATGTAGATTTGACCAATAAGAGGCCTCCTGTCTGTGGTCACCTACAGTTTTGGAGAGGTGCAGCAGAGGGTCTGCGGAAGGGGCGGGGCATATCTGCGTTCACTGCGACACACAGGCAGACGACCTGGTTTCTGAGTATAAATCAGCCTTAAGTGTTAGCGGCCATCTGCTGAGGCCGACTGGGGTTCAAGGAGACAGATTATGAGAAGTTGGCTGTATCTCTGGGTTGAGTCTATTTACCTAAACTTTCCCTGGATATGCTCAATCACTAACAGTGAAATGGGCTTTCTATCCTCTCAACCTCTGTCTGCTAAGGCAGAGGTTCCCAAACTTCTAAACTTTTAACCCATAAAGGAATAAAATAGTTAACTCATAGGCCAAACTATTGGTTTAGTTTACAATCATTGCTTCAAATCTAATTATCCACATATTGCAAACAGCATCAAAGTAGTTGTAGTTGGGTTTGTCCATTTTTAAAGGAAGCTTTTACATCAGATCAGTGCAGCTGCTGTTGTTATATGGACTTTGCAGAGTTTGCTATAGTGAAGAGAGATGAGCCATAAAATTATCTTATAACAAAGAAGGAGGCGGGGTCTGTTGGAGAGTTTGTTTTTATGCTTTCCCAATGTTTATACTCACAGGATCTCCCTCCCTGCCAGCGACATCGACTCCATCATGGCCCAGTGAGTTACACACCCACACAATATGAGGACGGTAAAAACAGGAGAAGGTGTGATGTCTGCCATTGTGTCCCTCCCTGCAGGGTCCAGGGGGTGCAGAAGAAGACCAGCACCATGTCTCTGACCATTTCCTCCTCCTCCTCCTCCGCTGCATCCTCCTCCCGGGAGCACACCTCCTGCTCCACCACATCCTCCTCCTCCACGTTGATCGCTCAGAGACACTCCAGCCTGGTGCATCCGTTGTGTGTCAGCCCTCAGAGGGTAATCACTGAGATCCTGATGCATTATGAAAATGTGCCATTCAGATGGGAAATGTAACATTTTATGCTCTGCTTTACTGCAGCCTTTGTGCATAAAGATAAACATGGAAAACAGTCATTAGTCCACCCCCAGAGCTGGTTAACATGTCTGTTTGTTGTGTGCAGACTCAGAGTCCTGTCTATAATCAGCAGTATTCAGGGAAAGGAGTGGCGCCAACGTTTGTTAAGGTAACAGAAATCTCCTGCTCTATATAAACCTCCTCTGACGTCCGTCTCATTGGTCGCTCCTCATCATCATTTCTCCCAGTGCCTCCATGATGTGTCCACAGTGAAGGGTCAGCTGGTGGTGCTGGAGTGTCGGCTCAGGGGGACCCCCCCGCTGCAGGTCATGTGGTACAGGGAGGACGAACAAATACAGGACTCTGATGATTTTAGGATATTGCGCAAGAGTAAGTGTGGGAGGGATTCATGAGATGAACAGCTGGCAGAAAGGGACACCTGGAAGTGAAACCATACTTTAATTTATGATACAGTGATCCAGGGTTATTTTTTTCTTATTATCATGTGGCTCCATTTGTCTGAAGTAAGCTTGTGTCCAAAGAGAAAACCCATTTTGACATAAACATTAACTGTGTGTGTTTGGAGAAAATTTGTTTAAAACAAGCTTGTTTGTTTTTTAGTGAAGATAAACAGCAGGTAAAGTGGTCAAACATTTCACTACAGTAAAAGCTGCAATATTTTATAAAGATATTACTCAATTAAAATAAAAAGTAGAGTTGAAAACAAATACTTCTAAAAGTATACAAGTATACAAAAGGTTACTCAAGCAAATGTGACTGAATAAATTTAACTAGTTACTAACCACCCTTTGATACATTTATTTGTATGGAGAGATTAAAAAACATTTTCAAATTTCATGCTGACAAAATGTGTTTTGGTGCCATCTATGGAACTCTATTGAGGCCATAAGTTTGGTCAAAAAAATATTTTTCAAACTTGAAACTAAAAAAGAAACTGAAAACAAATGAATCTAACTAGTAAATGTAACTAGTTACTAACCGCCTTTTGATACATCTATTTCTATGGAAAGATAGAAAACATTTTCAAATTTCTGTTTACAAAATTAGTTTTGGTGCCACTCTATGGAGCTACATGGAGGCCATAAATTTGGTCCAAAAATATTTTTTGATATTGAAAAAAAAAAACATTGAAATTGTAAAAAAAAAAAAATTACCTAAACTAAAAAAGAAACTGAAAAGAAATAAAAAATATTCAAATTTAAAAAATATTCAAATTAAAGTTTAAATTCTATCCGAATAGGAAACTGGGAAAATAAATGGGAATATTTTGTCCAGACACTAAAGCTGTCAGGCATAATCCCACACCCCATGTCATTTAAGCCCCGCCCCCCATACAGAGGGACCAACAGTTTGAAGCTGAAAAAGAAAAATCTGACACCAGAATAGAAGCTTTAATGTTAGTTTTAACATTTTTTCTTTTCAGTTTAAAATAATTTTTTAATTTTCAAAATACTTTTTCATTATAAAATTTTCAGCTGTAAAAACAAACTTGCTTGCACCTCGAAATCCAGTCAATTAAGTTGGTAATCTGGCACCAATCTACCTCCATACACTTAGGTTTGCCTCTTCAAACCAAGCAGCTTTTGACAGCAGTTCCTCTTCTAAAACATTTCAGTTTATCATTTTAGAAAATAACATTTAAATTCATGCTGACAGACGCACGCAGTATCAAACCAATGCATCTAGAATGAAAAGAAGCAGTGAGACTAGAGATCCTATGATTTATGCCACTTCATTCATTTTACAGCAACTCTACATCAGTTCTGTTACCTATTAATTTTTACAGGATTTACATCCATCTTTTCTAAGTCGTTCACATTTGCTGCGATTCACTTTTTCAGCATGTTTACATTTTCAACATATAATTCCATAATGAATATATTCCTATCATTTCTCTGAACTTTTATACATCCCTTACATTGTGTCTTTCTTTAATACCATAATTTGCTCTTGGCTTGTCTTTGTAAAGTTAAATCCACGGATTATATCCTTTAAATATGACAGTTGATTTTGGTTTTGGAAGCTGGGTTTTTGAGAAATATCTGTCCTCTTCAGATTAATGTGGCTTTTGCTTTTTTTAACACTAGAAGTCCCAGAGAATTCCAGTTTTCCTGCAAGCCCCCCTCCCCTCTTCAAGTTTGTGTGTTCACTCTACCTTGCTAACTGTCCTTGTTGTAATGCAAATAACCTGTGATGTGATCAGTCCTTCTACATGAGACTGGATAAAGGCTGAAACAAACTGGCATCAGAATTAGAGCATTTTTTCTTAGCACTTTTCATTACCTGCCGCTGCAACATCAGACCTTTTTGCAGGAACTTGTTTGATATCATTGTCTTCCTTATAAAACTTCTCAGCTGTAAATATTTGAAAAAAATATATGGTTACTGAGGATGAAAAAGTTATTAAGGTTGAGTTTTACTAACTGTACCTCAGACACCATGTAGGAGCTGCTATTTTTTCTAGATTAAAAAAAACTATTGGATTGAATATGAGAAACCATGTGTTGGAGATGTAAACGCAAGAACCACAGAAAAGGCTCAAACATGAAGCAAAGAGACTTTCAGTTGGTCTAAAGTCCGATTGCCCTATGAATGAGAGAGGAACACAGAAACCTATTCAAACACACAAACCTGGATGTTTTTATCAGATTTTTGTCTGCCTCAGGTTAGAAAAGCAAAAAGTGACGTTTTAATTCCATTAAGTGTATTTCTATAGCGCCAATTCAAAACACATGTCATCTCAAGGCACTTTACAGTTCAACAGATCATACAGTCACATTTGTTCAAAGTTTTCTATCTAAGGAAAACCAGTTGATTGCATCGACTCATTGACTCGAAGGCAATCCCTCAGACTAAGCATGCTTGTAGCGACAGTGGAGAGGAAAAACTCCCTTTTAACAGGAAGAAACCTCCAGCAGAACCAGGCTCAGTGTTAGTTTTATATTTATATTGTTTAATATTGTTTACAGATACTCTTCTCAATTTTAAAAAAGAAAATTAAAAACAATCTTTGTTTACAAGTTTGAAGACATTTCGCTTCCCATCCAGGAAGCTTTTTCAATTCTTTTTTAATTTCTGAAAAGTCGGTTTAGATAAAGGTTTTAAACCCCACATGAGTCACAGCAAAGCAACTTCATGTATAAATGAAGGTCAGAGATGTAAGTCAGCCTAGATTTACTGTTCCCTATTCTGAAATGTGAATATTATTAATCAGAACAAGAATTTATCTCAATCTGTCTTTGTGTTTCCAGAAGGGAGCTCTGCATCAGTGCCAGGTGAGTCCAAAACACAGATTGCATGAAATAATAATAGATTCAGGATAAAAATAGCCTACAAGTGCACAGAAATCTAGCAAATAAATATATAAACTTTTTTCCTGCAAGGCTGTTTGACTAAAGTTGACCTAATTTTACTAAGTTTTCTATTTTCATCTTTAAAAATAATGTCTGATAAAAGCTTGATGCAGAAGCACTAAATGCTTGGTTTGCTATGAACCAATAGTACGACTGGCAGAGTTTCAACAAACCAGTAATGATAATGTTGTTACTGTGTGTAACGTTCTGTCTGTGCAGAGGAGCTGTGCACGCTGGTGATTACAGAGGCTTTCCCTGAAGACTCGGGCATCTTCAAATGTGTGGTGTTAAACTCCTATGGCACGGTTTCCTGCTCCGCCCTGCTGGAGGTTTATGATGGTAGAATCTCTGTTTATCTTTCCAAAAAGGCTTCATATTGATTATGAACTGTCCTGAGGCACTGATCTCTATTTATTCACTGGATTGCTGATTGTCTGAAAAGTGAAGCCACCAGCCGCCATGTTGGTACTCCCCATTCCCACAGAGACACAGTTAAAATGACTACATGTGTAGCATTTGGCTGAAAAAAAAAGCAGTTGGCCGGCTGTGGGAAGACGTTCCACAGGTAATTTCACAGTCAGTGGATGAACTAAGCAAGAAAATCCACATATAGGCCAATGTAACCTATAATATAGTATGTAGCATAACTTTAGTCTTGCTGTCTCGGACTGACTCAAAGATAATGCCTAAATTAGCCAATGACATTGTGTCTAATGTAAGAAAACAGAAAGTAGAGTAAATAGAAAGTAATTTACTGTGAAATGTCAATGTAGTAATTCTTTATCAAGTGGATGACGCTGTCATGTTTGTAGTGTTTGCTATATATCTCATTTGAACAAGTCATGTGCTGAAAAATATACAGCATGTTATATTAACGAAAAAAAAGCAACTCAATCATTTATATATATATATATATATATATATATATATATATATATATATATATATATATAAATATAAACTCTTCCTTAGCCATTACGGACGGCCTCCAAGCTCAGGTCCTCTTCCAGAGGCCTGGGAGCTTGAGGGTTCTGCTCAGTATCTTTGCTGTTCCTAGGACTGCACTTTTCTGGACCGAGATGTCTCATGTATTTCCAGAGTTCTGCTGTAACTCCTCCAGTTTGGGGGTCACTGCCCCGAGGGCCCCAATGACCACAGGAACCACTGATGCCTTGACCTTCCAGGTTTTCTCCTGCTCTTCTCTGAGCCCCTGGTATTTCTCTAGTTTCTCATGTTCTTTTTTCCTGATGGTGCAGTCACTTTGTTGCTACATCAACCACAACGGCTTTGCTCTACTTTTTGTCCACCACCACAATGTCTGGCTCCTTTGCCATTACCATTCAGTCCGTCTGTATCTGGAAGTCCCACAGGATCTTGGCTCTGTCATTTTCTACCACCTTTGGGGGTGTTTCTCTCTTTGACCTTGTGGTTTCCAGCCCACAGTGTTGTTGCCATGTCCGTGTACACTCTTCCAGCCACTTGGTTATGGCGCTCCATGTAAGCTTTCCCTGCCAGCATCTTACACCCTTGGGGTCTTGTCTGGTGTGGTAGATCTGGGCCTCTATTGCTCTGGTGCTTAGGGGCTGCTCCTGTGCCATGATGTTTGCCTCTCTGCTGTCCTTCAGTCCAGCTTTGTCTAGCTATTGGTAGGATTTCCTGATATCTGCCACTTTGATTATGTTTCGGTGGTACATCCCATGTAGGAGCTTATCCTCCCATGACGCAGTCTCTGGCACCTCATATTCTGTTCCCCACTATCTAAGATATTCAGTGAGGATGTCGTCTGTTGGAGCCTTGTCCTTGATATATATATATATATATATATATATATATATATATATATATATATTTCAGATGCATCACTAGACATGAAATATGTAATTACCATAACAATGTAATAGATATATGGATATTACATGTACATAATTAATTTAGCACTTTTGGCACATCTGTATTATTACGTTTCATTTAGACACTAATTTTGTTGGGATGGATTTGGATAATATGTTATATTATGTGATTTATAGACTTCATTGAATTCATAATGACTGTGCAATGTGATGTGCATATTTTTTCTTATTATTTGTTAAAGTAATCTACTGATGCTATGAACCACCACAAACACAAGTGATAAATTTATCTTTATTTTAAAAGTCTTAAGTCCCCCTCAAAATTATAAAATCTTTGTTCTTTAATGCTTTAGCACACATATTGTTTACATTGCGACCGTTCTAAGTAGGGAGTACCAATATGGCGGCCGGTGGCTTCACTTCCACCCCATACTTCCCATAATACTATCAGCAATCAGTGAATAGATAGAGATCAGTGACCTGAGGTCACCATCAGTGTTTGAACCCCTCATGCAGACCTGGAGGAGCAGCAGGAGGCACTGTCTTTCAGTCAGGAAAATGAGACGGAGCATCATCAGGAAAATACTTCCTACAGAAGAAGCGATGAAGATTTTCCTCCTGAATTACCTGACTGTGTTAACCTTCCTCCTCCAGAGTGGCCAGACGGTTCTTTAGAGGACAGCCTCCCTGCTGCAGAGTGAGTGCTTAATGACACATAGTTCATTATCTGACTAGTTCATGCACCACTGATCCCCTGCAGGTGCTCATATTGCTGTAGTTAACTGGTTATATTGGTTCAGCCCAGTGGAATAAATCCTAAAGAAAACAGTTTATTTTTGCAGCAGTATATTGTATTTAGTTGTAGAGCACGCCATTGGAGCTGTAGTTCATATGTTCATCCAAACGAGGTCGCTGCAGTCATTTTACATTACTCCTTTACTTTTTCCAATTACTGTTTTACTATTTACTGCTTTAAATTTGTTATTTTTCCTCTAAATGATAATTCATACCAATAAAATCCATTTATTTGACTTGATATAAAACAATTCTCTTTAAATTTCAAGTACTCTAATTCATTGTAACGCTGTTAATGCATCACAAAGCATGCTCCATGATGGATAAAAAGACAAAGCAAAGAATTTAGATTTTCTTTAACAAAGTTGTTCTGTTCCTGAAAAACCTGCAGTTTCCCATATTTCAGAATATAGGAAGCCCTGCAGCAGTTTACTGATTCCAATTCAAGACCTACTAGAGGTGTACTGATTGGACTATTTAGGCCAATATTAGCGTTGTTTCTTGTACTGGCCATTATGAGCATGAGTTTTCTGATTTATTACCTCATTCAGCAGTCCTACCATGAGACCACGTAAAATCCATGCATTGCTGCTCTCTCTGTTTGGTATCCACTGGTTATATTTTGTTTGATTGGTGAAAAATTTTTCCATTTTGTCTGCATTTAGACTTGTGTAACATTTGCTATCATTGTGTCGTTTTTATCATCTAAATTGTAGGAAGAATGCAGGTTGAACTTGCAATTCTGGCTTTGAGAATTGACCCCTAAAAATCTGCAGCACATATTAGGTCTCGTTTAAACCGATGATTAAAAAAAACTGTATTGGCTGATCCTCAATAAATTCACAGGTTGGAACATATTTATTTATTATTTGACCCTCTAAGACACACCCCTCCTCCTTTGCATAATGAGGCAGAAATGCTTACAGAAATGTAAAAACAACAGACAGAAATAAATAATGTTGAAGAAATAAAGAGGGTAAAAAAAAAATACAAAGGAAGAATGAAACAGACAAAAATATTATATCATGCACATAAATTAATACTTAAATAAATAAATAAAGTTGAAGATTATGAAGGACAAAAAATTAATAAGGTAATTTTTTACAAGGTTAATACATAAAGAAGCTAATTAAAAGAGATATATACATTTATGTCTCACTGTATGATTTAATTTCTACCTACATTTATGTGTTTATTGTGTTTTTAGGGGCTAATTAATGGTATGCTTATTTATTTATCGAGCATTTGTTTATTTCTTATTGTGCAGAATAAAAGTATTTCCAATAAAAAAAGTAAATATAAAATTGTTCTATAAATTTTGACAGCAATGGGGTCAAAGTTTCCAAGTAGATAAAAGTTTCTTAAGGTGAAATACATTAAATCTGTGATCAGCGATCAATAAAAAATTACTTGAATCCTTTTTTTTTTCTCTTTACGATTTTTGACATTAAATAAACATCAAACCAAATGCATTCAGTGTTAATTTTTTAATTTGGCTTAAAAAAAAATGCGAAAAGCCTCTCCATAGCTCCACACATGAGCGCGCGGCACGTACTCGCGCCGCGCTGTTCGTGAGCGCGCCTTGTCACCTGTTGCAGTTCGGGCGCGCGCTCCTCCTCTGCTGTCTGGTTGCGTTTCTCCGCAGCTGAAGAGCAGAGCGGCTCCAATCAGGCATTACTGGGTTTATTGTGAGCAGAAAACGTTTGTCGAGGTAAGAGAAACAGCCTGGGGACATTTTTCACTCCATTCTTTGTCTCTCAGCTTACTTCAGTGTTTTAAACTGAAGGCTTCAGTTTACACAGCAGCCTCTATGACAAAGTTTGACATGTTTAATTGATTTATATGCCTTCCGAAAAAAGGATAAGATATGTTTAAAGTGATTACGATGAAATATTAAAATGTTTAAGCTTTTTGTTTTTAGATTTATGTGGTTTATTCGTTGTTTCTGTTTATTTTTTTTCCTTTAATGTGAAACAATATTTTTAAACGAATCTGCCGAAGTGATACAAAATGTTCAAAGATGGACTTTACCTGCTTCTTTTTTTATTTGTTTGCTTTTTTTATTATTGTTATTTATTGAATATAGTTTACAAACAAACAAACATATATATATATATATATATATATATATATATATTAGTATATATATATATATATATATATATATGTATATATATATATATTAGACAGGTGGAACTGTACCTGGTTCTTTTTTTGAAATTTTCTTTATTTTTATTGAAATTTTTTTTACAAACAAACATTTATGATTAAGAACATTAGACAGGTGGGACTATACCTGGTTCTTTTTTTTGTTTGTTTTTTATTATTTTCTTTATTTCTATTGAAAATATTTTACAAACAAACATTTATAAATAAGAGCATTAGACATGTGGGACTATACCTGGATGTTTTTTTTCTATATGGCTGCTTGTGACGTCAAGTTGCACCCATCCACACTGTGGCCCCAATCAGTTTGTTTGTGGCCCCTGACTGCAGTTAAAAGTGGCCGCCCTGAAATGAGCTGGAAGTGGTGAGGAGCCCTCTGACATTCAGGCCTGAACACTTTCGTTAAGTCCTTCTGTTGTTTTGGTCGGCAGGGATTCATTGATTTGTTTTGTTAGGAGCCACTATTTAAATTTCTGTTCTTTCCACTGGTGAAGATTCTCAGTCATCCATGTCATAGTCATTCCAAAAAAAGAAAATAAAAACAATCCACTGGACTTTGTTTCCAAGTTTGAAGACATTTCTCTTCCCATCCAGGAAGCTTTTCAAATTCAAATGTCAGGAATAGCGTTGATTTTTGTTTCTGTTCTTTCATTAACCAATAAAATCTTTAATTCTTTATCCTGCAGTAAATTTAGATGTAAAATAATCAAATAAAACTTCAGTTTTCTGGTCTGTTGGGATAAATAGATGTTCCTGCACCCTTGTTGTTGGACACAGTTCAGTTGGTTTCTCTCTAACTCGACCTGATCCTCCGGTTCATGTTCAAATGAAGGGGGGGCTTTCACACTGTGAGGTATGTCAGTGCTCCGTCCAGAGCTATGACCTCACATGTAACATGAAGAGCAGACATGGCGGCGGCGTCCTTCAGAAACCACTCCTCGTCTCCTCCTTTACATGACGGGTCTCTAGAAACTGTTTTTCTGGACAGAGATGAAACAGATTTATAAACAGGTGGATCTATTGGAAAAAGGTCAGTTTGTTAGGTTGATCTCTCAGTATGAAAATAACTCAAATTAGTGCAAAACGAATATCCCCTAGGAGACGATGAGTCTGTATTTGCAAAGCGGTTTCCAGTTATCACTAACAACGTTTTTCACTTTTTGTCTCCATTATGTCATTGGTCGCTCACCCTGCCTTGATCCTACCCACAATGCCTTGCAGCGTTTGTGTGCGTCTTGTTGGTATGCTTTAAAGCTGCTCCGTCACCACTTTAGTGCTTGCACCTGCCAGCTGACGTCCGAATAGCAAGACGAATATAGCTTTGGCCAAGCAAATACAAATACAGATACTAAGACCCACTCATAGTCTGAAGTTGGGTCCCTAGCTTTCCACTGGCAGCATTATTTCTTATGTCAGGACCTAAATTAATTATCTTGTGTCCCAAAGTTAGGAGGTGTTGTGAAATAATCTAATTATCAAATAAATGCGGGGAATGTGATAAGTTGGTTAATTAATTTGCAGGATATGAAGTGTTTGAAAGGATAATCCTTCAAATATTTTGCACACCAAAGTTATCTCTGATGTCAAGAACTAATAACGCCGCAAATCTTTATTTTAGACTCAACAGGCTGCAGTTGTTAACCAAATTACTGGTGTACTGGAAAAATGATCTCGAACTAAGTAAAAAATGTTTTAAATTAAGTGTATTTACCCTTGATTTGAGTAGGTAAATGAGGTAGTTTGCCAATGGAATGAGTATTTTTACTCTTAAAATAAGATAACTCGATAAAATGAACTTGAAATAAGACAATGCAATTGTTTTTTCTTATGTTAAATCTTAATTGTCTTCTTCCATTGGAAAAATCTGTCTTTTATCTCCTCAACAAGAAATGCACTTATTTTAAGGTAAAATGACTTACCGGTATCTAGATTTAGATTTTTTTTGCAAGTGTGTAAGTCTTCATAGAGGGTTGTGCTTTAAAGTAGTAAAATCAGAGATGCAGTAGTCAGAGTTGGTCTCCAGTATCAGGTTTCTTTAAAACTTTGACTTGCTGTTTATATTTAAAATATCTGATTATTCAAAAGTCACTTTTTAAATACAGTTCTTACTTTAAGAGGGAGCTGCAACATGTTTGCTTTTTCAAAAGTTATTTTGAATCGTACTTGAAGGTGAAAGCTGCTTTATGATCTTATTAAGGCAACATGTTTACAATTAAAGCAACTTAAGCCACTATGAGCGCTAGAAGATTCAATTCAGTTTAGTTTATTTCTTTGGGCACAATTCACCACAAGTTGTCTCAAATTTTCTAGAGACAGTACAGTCAGGTCATCCAGGACACACTCCTCCTGGAAAAACATGTAGAGACAGTAGTTATTTGCTTGCATTGT